ACACTAAATAACCCTGTTTTAAGAAGGATATTTATAAAGCCTTGCAACCTAGAGATCCAGTCATGTCTGTAACTCAGGAGCAAGGTCTTAGGACCAGAGCTTTCATCTGAATCACACTTGGAGCAGCCAAAGACATTTGAGGATGATATCCACAAACAATGTGAAGTGTGACAAGTAGTAAATAAAATGTCAACATAAAACTCTCTACAGTTATTGAAATGATGCGCTATAAAGATAATATAAAAGTGACTGCTTGTCAAGCTCATCTGTTTTCTTTATATAATGCGTTTATTTTTCAGTATATTATATATTTACTTTGTAGTGTAACTGCACAATTTATGAATATTGAATTTACAAAATAGTGGGAAGCTCTTCAATGATGAAGTAACTTTGAATTTGTTTTCAAACTGTCTACAACTAGTGAAAATAGGAATTCTAACCTCAATGTTAGGGGCACATTTACAGCATTTGGAGATGGATTTTTCTAAATGCATGTGCCACCTTCTCGGTCATAGTCTTCACATTGGCACTTAAGTCAGGCGGCTCCTTGTAGCCAGTCCACAGTATTTGTTTATGGTCTTAAGACTTAATGCAACCCGGTCTCTCTGCATTTTGAAACATGAAGTAAAATATCTTGCTTTATGCATCTTTTGAACAAGCTATGTGCCTGTGTGTGCTGCATATAAAAATATACCATATCGGGTTTCATCATTTGAAAAATAAGTTATTTCATTTTTGGAACTAGACATATGGAACAGGTAATTAACATATAGGAAGGTTTTCATTGCTGCAGTAAAGAAATGACTCTTGGGTGGGTCCAGGGAGCAGACTGGAGGATGCCATGTCTACCTCAAGAGGAGCTTGCAGCATACTGGGTGTTTGAGCTAGAAGTCGGAAGCATCCAGATTGCTGTAGAGAGACTGAATATTGCACCTTATAATTGATAATAAGTCTTACTCAGAGGTTGTGTAGGTTGCTGACAGCTTAGCTCTCTGCATTGTTTCATAAAATAAAGCACAGAAGTTTTTTAATAGGAAGAATAATTTTGACAATGTGATTCAAGTTTCAAAAGACTGTCTTGGAATAAAACAGAAACTTCTGACTCATTCTAGGTTTTATATATTTTGTTGAGTGTCTTTATAATGTTTGACAATATATACAATATGCACAACTCAGCAAAAAGAAACATGAAAACTTAAGTGCTAACTTTGCCTCCCACCTGCACGTTCCCCCATTCTTCCTCCACATCCTCTCAGCAGACTGCATTTTCCTTGTGTACCATTCCAGGGCGCAGAAGTCATAACAGTAGTGGTCTTATTTTCTATTTCTTCAAGTGCACGATATATTGGGATTTTTGTAGTTATTATGGTTGTGCAAGAGAACACTTGAATTTATTTTACCTACCTGAAATTTTGTGTCCTGACCAACATCTCCCCAGCATCTTCCTTTCCTCTGCCGACTCTGCCTCTTCAGCCCCAGCACTCACCATCTGTGCTTTTTGTCTGAGTCCGGCATTTTTCAGTTCCACACAGAAGTGAGGTCATGCAGCACTGGTCGTCCTGTGCTGGTCTGTCTTCGCCTGTCTCCTGTCAGTTCACCCTTGTTAAAATGATGGTATCTCCTGGATGGGCCCTGACTTCATTGTGTGCCTACGCCACATACTCACCCCTTGGGGGACCTTACATTGGTTTTGTGTCTTGTTTTTGTTAATAAAACTGCAGTGAGCACACAGACCAGCTGCTTGTTTGACAGGGACTTCCTTTACACACATGCCCAGTAGTTGCTTGGTGACTCACACATAGTTTTAATTTACCAGAGCCATGCACACGATTTTTCATAGTGACTTTTCTTACATAAAATGTAGCACATTAAGTTTTCCCACCTCAGTTCCCTGGGCTATGTAGCTTTATACCTAGGGCCATAAAGGCTTCGATGCTCCTGTCAGAACACTTTTTACTCAGTGACTGGTTAAATACATCTTAATTGTAGAACGGAACAAAAAATCCTTTAGAAATCTAGCCTGTGTTCTTAGTATTCTCATCATAACAATTTTATTACACACCTACATGCAGATTTTTATTTGAATTTTTTTTTGCTGGGCACTAAGCCTTCCCATCTAAATTTATCTTTTTCCACTTAATTGATACATTAGTCTTCCACATTTTTGTTAATGTATATTGACTGTAAAAACTAATGGTTGGCTTCTTTTTAAGACAAGGTCTAGCTGTGTGGCTTAGGCTGGCCTCCATCTCAGCCTCACAAGTGCTGGAATTACAGGTGTGTTTGGCCAGACCCAGAAAAGGAATAGATTTCATTGCGACATTTTCATGGATGCATATTAAGTACTTTGGTAATATTCATCCCCATCACTCACTCTTACTTTTTGCACTCAAGGATTTTTGGTAGTTTAAAGTTGTGTTCGTAATATTCTATTTCATATGAATGCCTTTGGGCAAGTTTTTTTTTTATTGTTTGCATCTGTAGAAACAAAATTCAACTTTATTCCCATGCTTATACAGGTAAGTTGTAGTTCAAGTGCTCCAATAAAGGTCCTTTAAAAAATAGTGTTAAGGCTCTATTAATTTTTAATCGTAAGATTAAAAATAAGCTTAGGTATCTGTTCTTAACCTGGGGGTCATGACTTCTTTGGGGTCAAACCATTCTTTCACAGGAGTTGCCTAAGACTATTGGAAAACGAAGTAGCGATGAACTAATTTTACGGTGGGGTCAGCACAGCTGTGAGGAGCTGTGTTGAGGGCTACAGCACAGTCTAGAGGTACTTACAGCGATCCCCACCCCCTTCCCTTCCTCCTGCAGTTCCCTGCTACCCACTGATGACAACAGACTGTGGCAGAAGGGAGAACCCCAGAGACTTCACCACCAACCCCTCTCTGTTCATCTTAGGGCTCTCAGCTGTCCTAATGCTGTGACCCTTTACTACAGTTCCTCATGCCTAGTGACACTCCCGTCCACACAATTATTTTCATTGCTACTTCATAACTAATTTTGTTGCTGTTATGAGTCATAATGCAAATATCCGACGTGCAGGATAGTTGGCATGTGACCCCTGTGAAAGGGTCCCGGCTCACATGTTGACAGCCGCCATTCTATCCAGTACTAGTGTTGGGGGAACCACTTGCAGTCTTTGGCTACTGCAAAAACACCTATTTGATAAGGACCTGAAGCTTCCTGACAACACAGCTTGAATGGAAAGTGGATCGAAGCCCCGCCAAACCTTTAAACCAGCCTCTGAAGCGGCTCGGACTGGGCTTACCCTCAGAGACCTGCCCTCTGAAGCTTCTGGCTCCTGACCCTCAGAGACCTGCCCTCTGAAGCTTCTGGCTCCTGACCCTCAGAGACCTGCCCTCTGAAGCTTCTGGCTCCTGACCCTCACGGGTAAAACCAGCTCATAAGAGACTCTCCTGTAAGCTTAAGTTTTGAGGGATTTGTCTTTGTAGCATCTAGTATCCCATGACCGACACATGAATGTTTTCAGCAGTCAGCAAAAAGAGCTACAGGCTTTTCTGGTAAAATTATACAGTTCAAGATTGGTGGAGTCCTTGCCACAAGTAGTAAGTGTGACATGCAAAGAGTACACAAATGTGCAGATACAAGAAGCTGTGTTTCTGGAAAGTGCACGATAGGATCCATGTTTGTGCTGAAAACAAAGCTGACTAAATGGCAGCTTCATCCTAAAACATCACAACAGTTTAACAAGGGATGCCCAGTTACAAGATAAAAGCTAGTGGTGCCTCTTGGGGCAATCACCCACATGTATGGGGCAGCAGTCAGTTCAGGCTCCACATAAGGTATGCATAACTGAAGGCCCTCGCTTAAGTAGGCAAACTCCGAGGGTTTCACCTTTACTGGGGTGAAACACAACAGGTGGAAAACCCTAAGGGGAATAGAATAGCGACATTATCCGGAAAAGCCTCACATACTGAATGTGCCACCAAGTGCCAGGAAAAGTAAAAATCCTGTCTGTTGTCGGACTCGGGCAAGGTGCTATCATCCCTAACAGTACAAAATAAGTAGATACACAAGGAAACTATATTTCAGCAACAGAATAAAAACAGAATCATATAGATGTGCTAACTAAAGTGGTGGCGGAGCCACACCTATGATAAAAAGGTCCTGCAATGCCGAGGTCAGAACTTCCCAGTTGTGGAGCGTTGGTATGTTGACGATCCAGAGACAACCATCTTTTGCTATTATGCTCCCTTAATAGCATTGGCCACTTTTGTCCTGACATCCTTGTGACTAAGGGAAACCTTTTGCAGTGTGTTAACAGCACGCCACTAATCTCCATCAGCCTAAAAACTAAGAATCCTCTGATAGCAACTGAACCCTGACAACATAAACCGAGATGTCCTCATTTACTGTAAACTGTACGCCTGATGTTTCCACCCGAGTGTTTGGGAAATTCCATGATGGATGATGACTTTCTTAAACAGCAAAAACGCCATGAAACCGCAAGATATTTGGGACAGCTAATTTGGTGTTCTTGGACCATGGGCACTCACACTTGGTCCTATAATAAATTCGAGGTGAGGGGTGTGTGGTTTGTGCTTTCTGTAACGAAGTAATTAAATGCGTAAAAAGGAAAACTAAATTTAAATGCCAAGATACAGGCAGAAAACGAGAAACTATAAAGCGATAGGGCTAATGTGTTTTCTGAGATGGAAAATTCTGGCTGGGCTGGAGACTACGGAGGTCTGATTGAGGCTAAAAATAATTGCCATTTTAGTCAAAGCGACTTAAATCATAACCCTCTGAAGGGCTGGGCCAGAACCGAGGCCACTCGTACTGTCACGTGATGTCTTCTAGCTTTGCAGCCCGCAGCCCCCTGGGACAAGTAGTTCAGCGGTGCAACTGCACGTAGCGCCCCTACCAACCCAGTTGCTACAATGCGCGTGCGCACCAATTCCGCACGGCGCCGAGGTTCCGGTCATCTGGCTTCCTCCACCCGAGACCACGCCCATATGTGCCAACCCTTAGCGCCTGCGCAGACGACGGCGTCCGTCCATCACCATGGCAGCATGCGCTGGGGGCCCAGGTAAGCGCAGAAAGCTGGGCGGGCGCCTACTCCTTTCCCTGTTCTAGTATTCCGGAACTAAACGCCAGTGTCAGCTGGGTGTGGAAGGTTCGAGAATGCTAAACGCGTGAAGGAGGCCTGGTGGCGGATTTTACAGAGACCGGAGTGAGTGACTCCATGTCACAAGGGGGCTTTAGGAACAATTTAGGGTAACTCAGTTGTTTCAAATACAAACTGAAAATTCGTTCTTAATATAAAAAGTTCGGAATGGTCCCGGAAGGGCTATGCTCCCTGTCTTTCAACCCGTTTTCCCCTCAGGCTTCTGCTGTTGGTTCCTTGGTGGATCCTCCCGGAGACAGCTTACTAACCACATTTTGACACGCATATACATGTTAGATAGTACTTTGTATTAACCTTTGAGGATCTTTATACCACGTATTTTGATCCTATTCACCCGTGCCCTTCCCACAGCTCTTCTCAGCCAATCAAACCTCCCTCCAACTTCGTTTCCTTTTTGTCTGTTCCTCTTTTTGTCAAACTCCGAAGAGAAAATAAGACCGGGTTTTCCCCAGGTTGGAGGCCTCCCTCTGGTTTGGGGCTGTGGATTTTAAGGAAGTCTTTGTGGCTGTTTATGATACATATATGTGGGTTAAGGTGACTCTTTTCGCCTTCCAAACCCTAGTGAACCTGATATCTCTTAAGTGTGTTGTCTCATGGTCCCCACAAGAGAGACGGGTATCAAAATCCCAGTGGAGGTGCTGGAGAGAGAACTCATTTGATAAACTACTTGCTTTGCAAGCGGGAGGAGCAGAGTTCCATCCACAGAACACATGTGAAAACCAGCTACCCTGGTACAGGTCACTCTGGAGAGGTGGAAACAGCTCCCGGGGGTAGCTAGCGAGCCAGCCAGACTTGTCTGTTTGGTGCGCCCCAGGCAAGCAAGTCTCCTTTTCTCAAAACACAAGGTGGAGGCTTCCAAAGAATGACACCTATTCTTCTTCAGCAGCATGTGATGTGCACACACAGGCACACACCTATTCTTCAGGAGCATGTGACGTGCACACACGGGCACACACCTATTCTTCTTGTGACATGCACACACGGACACACACCTATTCTTCAGGAGCATGTGACATGCACACACGGGCACACCACTTTACCACATAATGACAACGGGTCTTTTGAGCACAGTGTGGAGAAGACCCTGGTGCCTTAGTTTCTGATCCAGCGGGAACAGCCTAACTGTGGCCTAAGGACATTTAACCACAGAGGAGAATTCTGACAGGAGACACAGCTCCCACCACGCAGCTGCAGTTTTCCGGTTCCCTTGTGTCCAACGCTTTGCCCAAGTGGTATCGGAAGTCTGAGCCAGATTTCCAAGGGCTAAAAGCACGGTGTTACCAGGAGTGCTTTTCTCCAGGAGGTGTGGGTGGCAGTGTTCTTGCCTTTCTGGCTCCTTGGCTCATAGGAGCTCTTCCTGCATCTCTGAAGCCAGAACGGACTGGTGGACTTCCCCTCACTACATCACCTCAGCTGTCGCTGGCCTTCCTCCCTCTTAAGAGGACCCTGCTGTTGACATTTATACACTCAAATAAACATCCTCCCATTTCCTAAAATGTCTCATGCCCTCACACAAAATAAAACAGAATCCCTGAATTCACATAGGCACTTGGCTGGCAGCCTTAACTCCTTCTTTGCTGTGTAACATATTGTCTGGTACCCATTATTCCTCCTGCGCCATTGCTCTAACGCTTTCCTTACTACTGTCCTGGAAATCCTTTTGTACATAGATAGTTGCCTTGTTCATTTGAAGGGCTGCAGAATGGTCCACGTTTAGTGCCAACAGACGTTTGAAGTTTTTTTTTTTTTGCTATTATGAACAGTTCATTAAGTTTCCTGAATGAAATGCATTCTCCCAAATGAATTTATCTGTCTATGGAATAAATTCAAAGAGTACAATTTCTCAAAGAACAGATATAAGAATGCCCCTTCCCCCCCATGGAGTCCTGTGTACCAGTGCTAGGTCCCTAGTTGGTGGAACTGTTTGGGGAAGGATCAGGAGGTGTGGCCTGTTGGAGGAGGTGGGGGTGGGCTTCGTTTCAAAAAAACTCCATGACAGGCTCAACCCCACCTTGCCTTCAACGTTCAAATAAGATCTAAGCTCTTAGCTATGGCTCCAGCACCTTGCCTGCCTGCCAGCTGCCATTCTGCGAGGGTCGTGAACTCACCCTCTCAAACTGTCAGCAAGCCCCCAACTAAGTGACTTCTAAAGTTACCTTGGTCTCTTTGAAGAGACCAAATTCACATGTTTCAAACATTTTAAAATCGACTGAGCTGAGCTGTGATGCTCAGTAGTGCATTGAATGTCTTTTGAGTTAGGATATTCTAACCCAACAGTTAGTTTATCTGGACATCACCCCATGGTAAGTCCCTAAGTACAGAGCAGCAATCTACCCACAGAAAAGGTATTGGACTTACAAGTCCTGCATCATTGTGTCCTGTTGCTGATGTGTAAGGCACCTTTATGAAAACTCCAAATGCAGTATGAACGGCTGAAAGGCGCCATAGCAAAGCCTAATGCCTAGGTGTGTTCTGGCACCTGTGTGCCAGGGAAGAATGACCCAACTTCTCAGTCAGTTGATCTCTGTCTATCTGTCCCTCCTCACCTCATTTTAGACACACTTCTACTGTGTAGTCCAGGTTAGCTTTGAACTCATAATTTTCCTGTCTTAGACTTCTGAGCTGTGGGATTCAAGTGTCCAGTGCCACACCTATTATGCTTCTATTATGATATATACTGTGATGTAATTGTTTTCTTCTTTGTTGGTATTTGTCATAACTAAGAATTAATGTGCTTCCTAAAATGACTAACTCGGATATTTAAAAAATGATGGTCATGCATACTCTTGCATTTGTGAAGAGGGCCCTGTGTTTGAGGGGACTGCTGGGAGCAGAACAGGCTGCCGGAGGTAGTTGGGGGGGCTGTTGGGGCAGTGGGGTGCCACTGTGGGCAGTGGGGGATTCTGGGAGCAGTGGGAGGATTCTGGGGGCAGTGGGAAAACTCTGGGGGCAGTGGGGGAATTCTAGGAGCAATGGGGGGATTCTGGGGGCAGTGGGGAGCTCTTGGGGCAGTGGGGGGACTCTGGGGGCAGTGGGGAACTCTTGGGGCAGTGGGAGGATTCTGGGGCCAGGGGGGACTCTGGAGGCAGTGAGGGTACTCTGGGGCAATGGGGGGACTCTGGGGCAGTGGGAGAACTCTGGGAGCAGTGGGGGGCACTGGGGACTCCCCTATTTTTCCCAGAGTGCTTGCTAAGCCACAGGCTGGCAGGTGCTTCTTTCCAACTCCTCAGTTCTATGACTAAAGGAGTGGTTTGTAATTTGGTATGTCAAAATCCCACATGCTAGAGCTGGGGAGGAAACCGCTGGCTGCTGTGGTGGAGGACCTGGGTTCAGTTCCCAGCACCCACCTGACAGCTCTCAACTCTCTGTGACTCCAGTTCCAGAATCCAGTGCTGTCTTCTGGCCTCTGCAGACAATAAGCACACACATAGTGGACATACATAGGCAAAATACTCAGACAGAAAATAAATCTTAAAAATGAAGCCCACATGTTTATGGGAGATACATGCACTTGGATCAAAATGAACAGAGGTAGTTAAAGAAGTCCTATTTTCTGACCAAAGATTCCTTTTCCCAATGAATAGATATTAAAGATTTACTTTTTACTTCTATTTTATGTATGTGAGTGTTTGCTTGCATGCGAGTCTGTACTTTAGAAGGGGGAGTTTTTCTGCAGGAACTGGAGTTAACAGATTGATAACGGAAGGGCGTTCATGTTGGTGCCGGGAATCAAACCTGGATCCTCTGCAAGAGTGGAGCACTGTTAACCACCGAGCCATCTCTCCAGCCTCGAGATCTCCAGCCTGGTATCTTACTGGCAATGTGAACTAGCATTTTTTAGACTTTTAAAGGTTTCCAGGCAGAGTTAAAAAGCCAACAGTTGGCAATGTGCGTAGGCACTGCACTGGATAACAGTGCTTAGGGAGGAGATTAAAGGAAAACCTGGTACGCTGTGAGTACTTGGCAATATGTGCGTTACTTGTATTTCTCTGTGCTGACTGAGCCTGTGATTTTTGCCTTGAGTTCAGGCCCTCACCTGCCCAGAGGGTCATGCATGGTCTGAAGGCAGATTTGCAGCAACACATGGACTCACGCTGTTAAAGGGGCTCCGTGGACACACCTTCAGGACTTTGGGTTTCGCTTGGTGGGGACACACACACAGAACCTCCCTCAGTCTTTCAGTGTAGCTTTGTCTCTATGCAGAGGACCCGGGTTTTTGGAGGACACAGTGTAGTTTCTGCTGTTCAGTGTCTGCTTCTTAGCATTTTCTGTCTTCCTGCGTGCTTTTCACACCTCCAGTCTGCAGAGCACAGCGCATGGCTGCTGACTGCAACATGATGTATGTTACATGTACCGCAGGCCCACATGTCACAGTGCATATATGTATTGTGAATCTATTTTTCCTAGCCTAATTGCTTGGTTTTTCTCTCTCAATATACTTTTGCACCTTTATATAAAAACATTTTTAACGCTGCAACCCAGCAGTCCCCCACTGTGGGCACATACCATGGGGAGAAAACCACTTGTAAAGGAGTGTGTGTGGACGTTCTTCACAACAGCCAAGGCGTGGAAGCCCCCAAGTCTAGTGACAGGCTAATGGGTAGAATAGCATTTCGCACTAACAAAGCCCTTTCTAGTAGCCACACATGTGAGCCCAGGAGATATTATTGTGCTTAGTGAAATAAACCAGCCACAGGAATAAAATATGTTGCATGATCTCTTTTATTTGTAGAATGTAAAATTTCTCAAATACATAGAAATAGAGAACACAACATTGGCTATTCTGGGAGAGGTGAGGAAGTGTTGACCAAAAGGTAAAGGGCAGACATGCAGAATGAGCGAATCTGGAGATCTAGTGTGCTCCATGAGGAATAAAGGTAGTGAAAGTGTTTTGTTTATGAGATTTATGCTAGTGAGGTTCTAGCTGCTCTTCATGCATGTGCGTGCATGTGCGCACCTACATGTGTGCAATATACTCATGCACACATGTGCACATGCACCACCAACAAAATTTAAACACAGTCGCTGGAGAGAAGATGGGTATGTTTATTGGCTTCAGCATAGAAACTGTTTTACTTGCCACGTGCATCTCACGACATCGTGTTGTTCACCTTAAACATGTACCCCATCAAAAACAATATTCTCTGTCATGTAAATGTTGTTATTTCAGGATCCTGGAGTGAAAATATACTGGATTATTTTCTCAGAAACAATCAGATCACGACAGAAGATGGCGCTGAGATCGTCTGGTATCACGCAGCCAACCACAAGTCCCAGATGCGTGAGGCACTGAGGAGTAAGTGGCTTCTGCTATTTATGCTAAAAATTATTTTCCTATTCCTATTTTTTTGAAGCAGTCTTTGGTATGCAACCCAGGCTGGTATCAGCATTCCAAGTCCAGAATCCAAGGGATTCCAGATAGGAGTTGCCACACCTGACTACTTCAGGTTAATTTGGGTAATTTACGAACTCAGTACATTTTTTGAAATCCAAGTGAAATGTCTATGAGTTCGCTGGATTGGGAGCCAGTCTGCCAGAGTCAGTGGACAGGAGAGTGCACAGTTTCCCTGGACAGTGGGCAGCAGCCATGTCCCAGGCAGTGGGCAAGAGAATGGGTGACTTCCCTGGAGAGTGGGCAGCAGCTGGACTTGGCTCTGGAGACAGACTCCCTTCCAGAATTTGAGAGCGGGTCGATTGCTACAGTTAGACATCATCAAGCTCATTTCTCCCTCAACTGAGTTGTGCCATTTGTCCTGGCGTCACAGGTGTAACAACCTGACGCCCATCTGCTAACCTGCTGCTTTATTTCCTACCGTCCGCGTAGAGGGTGTGTTCTGTTTACTGGCGCTCCAGACCATCACAGTGACCTGAAAACCCTGCACAAGCTAGCTTAAGTCTTCAGATCTGCCTGCTGTGGTTCTGATATTCCCTCTTTGCTGGCTGAGCCCTTGCTGTCCTCACACCGGCTGCTTTCTTTCCAGGAACTTGTGCTTTGCGATACTGATGTTGACCCCAGACCCTGGAACACCCTGGGCAAGCACTACCACTAATCTATGCCCTAGCATTCTTTTTCCTTTTCTTGCTTGTCTGTGTTTTTCAGTTTATTTGTTTTATGTATCTGGGTGTTTTGCCTGCATGTATGTCTGTGCACTGTGAGTGTACCTGGTGCCCAGAGGCCATAAGACGGCATCAAACTCCCTGGGACTGGAGCTACGGATGATCATGAGCCACCATGTGGGTGCTTGGGACTGAACTCAAGCTGCTGAGCAGTCTCTCCAGCTGCTCCTTTTAGTTTTTATTGAATGTTCTCTGTAGTCTAGGCAGGGCTTGATTGAACTCTATCTCACCAGCAGTGGGAGTTACAGAACTGTATCACCCCGCTGGGCCTGTTCCTGAACCCAAACTTGAACACTCTCCCCCACACTAAGAACCCTTTCCATCTCCTTGCCTTGTACCTTCCTTGTTGCTTTTTAGTGAGTGTGTCTCTGAGGTTTGCTGAGGTCCTGGCGTGGGTTGCTGATGATCCCTTTTTGCACACAAAGGAGTACATTGTATCCACAGAGCATGTTTTATCCACTCCACAATTAAAATGCAAACTATTGTTTGCATTTTGGGCTGCTACAAACCCTGTTACTGTCTGCCCTAAAAAGAAGTCAGCAGACATGAACAGACACAGAGAAATGGTGTTAAAATACACTGAAGAGAAGCAGTGGTGAACTCCCAGAAATGGGATGGCACTTCTGGAAGGGATGGGATCGAAGTCCTCCTTGCAAGAGAGACCAGGAGCCAGTCTCACTGTGGGATGCCCAGCAGGCTTGATGGCACTGTCTCCCATAATCATGTTAAGGAGTTAATTTTGCTATGTAAGTTGTTTTTCTCAAGGCTGACCTCTGTGGAAGGTTCCTTGGGCCACGAGAGGTTAGACATGGGTTACTGGAAGCCAGGCTACGGGTGCTCATGGCTTCAATGATTGTACCTGAGGAGAGGGTCTTAAATCTTCACATCTTTGGCCAGCACCCCAGTCTGTACGAATTGGTATATGTGACTGCAGTTTAGATTTGTGCTTCCTAAAAGCTTAAATACCCTTGATGGGCTGGCAAAGGCAGCGGCCCCCATCCTGTCAGCACGAGTGGAATCCCAGGGACACACACGGCGATGGCAGGAGGAACCAAGTCTCACACACTGTTCTCTGCCCTCCACAGCACGGCAGGCATGCGTGTGACCCCATAAACAAATGCAATATGTAATGGTTTTTGTTTTGTTTTGTTTTGTTTATTGAGACAGGGTTTCTCTGTAGCTTTGGAGCCTGTCCTGGAGCTCACTCTGTAGACCATGCTGGCCTCGAACTCACAGAGATCTGCCTGTCTCTTCCTCCCAAGTGCTTGGATCAAAGGCATGCACCACCACCACCCAGATCAAAATATGTAATAATTTTTTAAAAAGAGAAATACCCTGGAGCCTCTGATAGTGTCTTTGGGGAAGTGGTCCCATCTGCTACTGACTGCTCTGACCTGATGTGAACTTTGGGAGCCCACAGACTCTCATTTAAGTCTCTATTTGAGCTACCTCTGTTCATTCTGATTCAATTGTATGTATCTCCCATAAACATGTGAGCTTTAAATTTAACACAAGAGATAAGAATGGAAAGCTGGTGTAGATTGACTTTGTCATCCTGGATCTGACTTTGCAGAGTCTAATATCAGGAGGTTGATTAAAAATATATTTAAACACAAAAAAATTATGTCTATGAAAAGGATTTTTATTCTTACAAAATGATCACATTTAAAATACTGTATCAAATAAATAAACCTCCTGTGATAATAAGAAAGGTGCTTGATCTATAGCTCTAAAAACAGCAATACAATTGATAAGAAACTGTCTTTTGCCAATGCAATGGCATTGTCATTGTTATGGGCATTTTGATGTTTAAATAAACATATTCATACTGTAAAAAAAATGTAAGCTTTATTTTTAAGATTTATTTAATAATTTTCTGTGTCTGAGTGTTTTGTCTGCATGTATGTCTGTCTACCATGCATGAATATTGTCTGTAGAGGCCAAGAGATGGCATTGGATCCCTGGAACTGGAGTTACAGACAGTTGTGAGCTATCATGTAGATGCTGAGAACTGAACCCAGGTCCTCTGCAAGAGTAGCTAGGGTGGCAACCACTGAGCCGTCTCTCTAGCCCCAGCTTGTGGATTTATTACACTCCTCTTGTCAAAAGCCACATACCCAGATTGCTTTGTGGTGGTCTTCACTCTGACTTGGTTGGTCTGCAGGTTTGGTTACTATGGACAGATACTCTTAGTATTCTAAATTCTCTTCATCTACTGTGTGGGAGTGGGTGCTGTCCTGAGGCTTAGAAAGGCCTTGCAGCTGCCCTGTTGGCTGCGTCGGCACTGGAATTATATTTTATTGTAGTGCTCTGATTTGAAGGTTTTTCTCCAAACTCATCTAAATTTAATTGCCAGTGGCATTGTATAGAAGATGGAAGTCTCTAGAAAGATATTTGGGGCTAAGTTGGAAATCCTTCCTTAGTATACTACTAAAACTCCCAGCAATTAACTATTTATCATCTTTCTTCTCATTATTAATGTAAGTTCTTCAAAGAAACCAGTTGACACTTGACGCGTCTCCTGGAAACCACGTACATCAACTCCACAAATTCACAGGTGTCCTCTCCTCTCCATCCTCTGCCGTGACTACAAATGATGGTGTTTCCAAGTTTACTGTTGTCTAAAGCAGATAGCTCAGGAGGTAAAGGTGTTCGCTACCGAGCCTGTCAACTTCAGTTCAATACCCAAACCCTCAGGACAGAAGGACAACACCAGCTCTCGTACATTGTCTTCTGACTTCCACATGCATGCACACAGACACACATATACACAAAATAACTATAAAAATTAAGACAGATGTCTGTTCTCAAGTCAGTCCATGAACTATTCCTTCCTTACCTGCTAAGGCTTCCCCAGGTCCCAGGGCTGGTACTTTATGTCAGGGTTTTGTTAGGACAGCAGCCGCTATCAGATGTCTGTTCTGTTAATCTCCTGGTAGCAGGCATCTAGAGGTAGGGCGTTGGCGATGCCTGCAATCCCAGCATTTGGGAGGATGGAGTAGCACAGCTACAAGTTTGAGGCCAGTTTGGACTATGTGGTGATAGTCTGTCCCACCAAACAGGTCACTTTGAAAAAGTAAGTTTTAAATCAAAGACAATAATTTTTGTGTAGAATTTCAGGTATGAACAATGAATGTCCTTGGATTCTAATTTGAATATCAAGAAGATAATACATGCAGCTGTCTAGATAACTGTGTGTGTCTATATGTGTCTGTGTATTTGTGTGTGTGCATGCATGTATATATATGCATGCATCTGTGTATCTCTGTAAATGTGAATGTATGTGTCTGTATCTATGTGTGTGTGCATATATGTACATTAGTATATGTATGTGAGGGTGTGTATGTGTGCGTCTATATATATCTGTGTATGTGCAGGTATGTGTGTATGCATGTGTCTATATCTGTGTGTGTGTACATGTGTCTGTCTATGTGTTTGTGTGCATGCGTCTGCATATTTGTGTGTGTGTGCATGTCTCTGTATTTGTGTGGTGTGCAGGTTTGTATATGTCTGTCTGGTACCAGAGGTAGAACCAGAGTCTTGCTCATACTATTAGGCAAGCAGCACCTGTGAGGGACACTCTCAGCTCAAATAAACTATCTTTGCTACTAGAAAACTCCAACGATACTTAACAGGCTTCCCTTCCCTTTCTGTACTCCCTTTACCAGAAAGGATTTGTAGGTAGAGTGATTCCTTCCTCTTCCTCCCATGGGTACTGACACACTGCTTCTGTAGTTCCCTCCTTGTTCAGCAGTAACATAGCTCTCTTACTTGGGCAGGTGCTGCCCACATGATAGAGGCTGATGTCCTTCTTCCTAGTGATGGATCAGAGCACGGCCAGCCAATCATGGCCCATCCTCCTGAGACGTACAGTGATAACACTCTGCAGGAGTGGCTGGCTGAGGTCATCAAGAGCAACAAGGGCATCAAGCTGGATTTCAAGAGGTATTTGTGCAAACATGTGTCTTACTGTTACAGAATTCGCTCGCAGGAAAAGCCAACACGTGCGTCCCTGTCTTTGGTGTACCTAAGGTGTACCTATCTTTACACCTCAGTCAACTGGAAATGAAATGTTAGGCCTTTATGTGTTTCCAGAATAGACTTAAAAATGTTGATTGGTAAGACTGTTCCTTTAAAACTGAAGTCAGTTTTTATAGAGGGATGTCTTACTTTCTTCTGTAGGTGGAAAACAAAGTGCTTTTTTCCACCAGTGCTCTGAAAGGAGAGGCCGTTAACAGAGCCGTCCGTGCAGATTCCGGTTGACTGCTTTGTATTAGCAGCGGCTTTTCTGAAGTCTTCAGTAACCACAGTACCCTTTACAATACTATTTTTCAGGAATTGACCATGTGTGTGCGAATAGTTCTCATTTCCCTCCCAATGGCCATCGCAGGAGATTTGCCTTCTATTGTTTTTGGCAATACAGAAACTTTTAATGCCTGGAGTTGCTGGAGGCAGAGTGGCTTCCCACAAGCCCCCAGCAGCCACTCCCATTCAAATGCAGAAATGATGGCAACCCAACCTGTCTCTGAATCATACATACCTCAAATTATCTCTGGGCTGGAGAGGCAGCTCAGCAGTTAGGAGCACTTGCTGATCTTCCAGGGGACCCAAGTACATGTCCCAGCACCCATGTCTCGCAGCTCAGAGCAGCCTATTACTCCAGCCAGGGGATCCAACACCCTCTTCTGACTTCTGCAGGCACCTACACCCGTGTGTGTCACACTCATAAATAAAAAAAATTTAAAAATCTGTAAAATCATATTATCTCAGGATGTAAATAAGGATTTGAAAAGCTTGTTGGGTTGTTAAGATGACTGTCACTGTTTGTGAGTGAATGCCCAGCAAACCTTGTCAATTTGTTGTAGCGAGTAGCTGTATAGATGTACAGGAGTCTGGATTGACAGGGATGGCTGAGTTAAATAAACCTCCAGGAACCAGAGAGATTTGTGGGCTGTTTTGGTCCCTGTGGGCATCACTGAGGGAGTCACCTGAGGACGAGTGCTGAGCCAACCTCAGATCCCAGGGCCAGTCAGTAGCACTGGGCAGTTTAAACACAGCCCGCTCCTCTTCCACGTGTGCAGTGTTTCGAGTGTTTGCTGTTGTCTGTGAGGCCATCTTTGGCGTCCATAGATTAGCTTGTGCGTTTGTGGGTTTTAGCGGCTATTTTAGTGGCCCACAGAAGGGCCATGCCACTAAAATTAAAAAAAAAAAAAAAATGTAAATTGAAATGTATCTTTTAAACTTTATTTTATTTTAAATCAAGTGTGTACATGTCTGTGTATGTGTGTACATGCATGGCAGCTCCTTCAGAGGCAATTTGAGGACATCAGACTCCCTGGACCTCGGTTACAAGTGATTGTGAGCCCCCAGCATGGGTGATGGGAACCAAACTTGGATCCTCTGCAAGAGCAGCATACAGCATGCTGATCGGGGCTGCAGAGGTGGCTCAGCACCTCCGAGTGTGCGCTGCTCTGCAGAGTAAGAGAAGAAACGTGTTGCACGGTTCTGAAAGCTGTGTGTGTTTTATATACGGTCCCCATAAAAGTCCCAAGAGCTTCTGTTCTCACCTGCATAGGAAGAAATGGAGGCTGCGGGGTAAAGACCCTGCTTTTGCCTAGATGCTTGGTAGTGAAGAGCATCAGCCTGGCTGGAAATGGGAGCTCGCTTCTCTGTTCCTGTCTGTGGTGCTTGGGACCAAGTACAGGGCCTTGTGCGTGCTAAGTGCATGCTCCAGAGTACATGTTCTTCTTTTCGTGTGTGTGTGTGTGTGTGTGTGTGTGTGTGTGTGTGTGTGTGTGTGTATACACTACACAGCAGGCTCGTGGTGGTCCGAGGACACTTGCCGGAGTCGGGTCCCACCTTCCCCAATCAGGTCATTAGACTTACCAGCGAGCACCTTTACCAGATGAACCTGCAGCCAGCCTGAGTGTTAAAGCAAACCCCTGAACTACCTCTGGAAGTGGAGCTGCATGGTATTTTAGTGGATCTTGTATTATGCTTCTAGGTTATTTTATATAGCATACAAGTGGTAATACATGATTACAATATGGCATTCTGATTGTCGTGTAGTAATATATGGTGATGTTTAAATTTCATCTGGAGTTTAGCTGGCTCTGGGGTTTTAAAAGATTTTCATCTAAAATACAATGTTAAGTTACTTCTTGTAAATTGGAGATGGTTTTTATTGTTGCCTTGGAGTTGTAAGAAGGCCAGGTAAGGTAAGATGCTCGGCATTGTCAGTTTACTTTCTCATCACTGTGACCAAACTGTTTGGCAGAGACAGCTGTAGAATCTTGGCTCGGGGTTTCAGATGAGTTTCGGTTGGTCCACTTCCCTGGAGAGGACAGATGCCATCTGGGGCAAGGCTCTTGTATGATTAATCAGTTCCCATGGTGGCAGACCAAGAAGCAAGCTGGGACCAGGTACAGGGAGAGTTCTCCCAGGCCTGCCCCTTGAGGTCATTCTAGCAGCCTAAAGAAAGCCTTACATGGCCTCTGAAATAGTGCCACAGGCTGGGAGCTGCGTGCTCAGCCTGTCTCAGAAGCAGTTCAGAGTCCAAGTGTAGCTATATGCTATGGCTTTGCTGTGTCTTGTTTTTGGTTTTGGAGTTAAGATCTTGAACTTTAACTTTGAACTCTCTTCTTCATAGTCACGTCAGTCCTCCCTCTCCCCCCCACCTCAGCCTCTGGTGCACCTCTCTTTGTTATCTTGTTTTGTTTTTGGGGGGACAGGGTTTCTCTGTGTAGCCCTGGCTGTCCTGGAACTCACTCTGTAGGCCATACTGGTCTTGAACTCAGAGATCCAGCTGCTTCTGCCTCCCAAGTGTGGGATTAAAGGTGTTGTGTCATCATGCCCAGCTAGTTTTGCTGTCTTTTTCGTTGGATTTCCTGCTGATTTGGGGTCTTCTGTGGTTCCCTGTAGATTTTAGAATCTGGGTTTCAACAGACATGAATTTAATAGAAGTCAAGAAGCACTACAGATAAATAAAAACATCTAAATTAGGACCTACAAGGTCCTGCCTAAGACTTACTTATTAATCCACTAAAATCTAGGGTGTCCATTTCAAAGACAGTGGGGAGACTATGAAAGGGCCAGGAGACTGGAGGCCGAGTGCCACGCGTCTCCGGCTTTAGCACATGATTTAATAAAATTTCTCTCCTTAAAGAGTAGGAGTTACAGGAAGGAAACACAGATGGACACGCTCGTCCTCGGGAAGAGCGCTGTCTCTCCATCCCCAGAGTCTCAGCCTTCACCACAGTAGCACAGGAGCTCTTTCTCCTGGTGAGCCGTTCTAAAGGCTCAGAAGGGGTCGTCTTTAAGGTTGGAAGAACCTTTAGAAGTAGTGAGATTTTCCAGTTAAATTGGTATGTGTGTGGATTTGAGAACAGTAAGACACACACACACACATAAAGTAAAGTAAATATGATAAACTAAACTAATCTTACCATTTTGTAAGCTGGGTGTGATGGAACACACCTTTAATTCCAGGACTTGGAAGCAGAAGCAGGCGATCTCTGAGTTTGAGGCCAGCCTGGTCTACAGAGTGAGTTCTGGGCCAGCCAGAACTATGTAGTGAGACCTTGTCTCAAAAACCAACAGATAAAGAAGTCAAGAGCTGTTGTGAAGTCTGTGAGCACAGCTGTGGAAGGGGAGAAGACAGGCACCGTTGACTTGGCACTGAAACCTCCTCCCTCCTTTCCACAGAAGGTGCTCAGAGCGCAGAAGAACCGGGTTTGTACTAGCTTTATGAAATGTGTTCATGTCTCCAGACTCACCCAATCGTGCGTGATGGAGAGCCCTTGTCTCCCGCAGGATGTCAGGAGTCAGAGTCGCTCTTACCAGAGACTGAAATGTGGTAGACCACTCTCAGAACATGCCCAGCTGTACCCGCCATTCCCTGGGGTGACTGGAAAGTGAACATGTCTATCTTTTCTTGCATCATTTCACATTTAGTGACCCGAATAGGAGTTGTGAAGCCCCCATTTGGGTCATAGGTACTGGTATCAGTCATATAGTGGTAAAATCTATAAGTCCCTTTCATGAAATAGAAGCACAAGTATTTTGAGGTAAGTTGTGTGGATTACTCTTCCTCTCTTGTCCCATAGGACATTTTACATTTGTATTTGAACCTGAGAGCAGGTAGACATTCTCAGAGCAGGGCGGTTCACTGGTCATCATCTCTCTCTGTCAGTCTGGCAGCCGTCAGAGCGTCCATGCTGATCCTGGAGAATGTGAAGCATCTCCTTCAGCGTCCCGTGTGGATCAATGCTGATATTCTTCCTGGTCCAAATGGAAGCAGCAAAGTCGTGGATGCCAAAGCCTTTCTAGACACCGTGACGTCTTCCTTTCCAGATGTGACCTTCTCCTTGGGTTGGACAACAGGCTGGCATCCTGAGAAAGTCAATCAAGGTGGTAATTCTGATCAGGTATTTACTGTTGGTTGAGTTAAAGTATCCTCCAGGTGTAAAAGCTGCACGCGCTTTCATACAGAGCTAAAAAGTCCATCCCACACAGCCTGAGGGCCTAAAGGAAAGATGTGACCCTGTGGGTGCGGGAGGAAGGCGCGGGGTATGTGTGTGTGCCCTTCCTTCAGTTACCCCTCATAGGCCCCGATGACGTCTGTCCACACACCTCCATGGAAACGTGTATTTGCGAGCTGTGGAACAAAGGTGTGTCTGCACCCGCTGTGAGCAATCCCACGTTGGTCCCTGCAGATGGGTAAGGGCCTCTGTGCTCGCTTTCCCACGCCGTATACAGCAAACTCAGTGTCAGAAGAGCGAGTGTGGCTGAGGACACAGCTCTGGCCCTGAACATTTCCCTGTTGTTGGCGGCTTAATGGTGGAGGACTTGATTGGCAAGAGCCAGGGCTTCAGTCAGCACCACTGAAGCATAAATAAAAGCCATCTTTTCCTTGCATTGCTATGTTTTAATTTACTGGGAAGTCAGTGAGACTTTGTGAACTTTCTAGGATCTCATATATAAATTAGTGACAGAGTTGTCTTTTTCTGGGTAATTTGGTCTTTTAGTTAATTGGCTACCAAGATTGCAATCCAAAATTTACCATTCCTCCCTTCTCACTTCAGGCTACAGCTGGACGATGGTGAAAGAGATGGCCTACATATGCTGTGGGCTGCCCCAGCCTGTCACGTTTCCTGTCAGGGCAGCTCTGCTCAGGCAGTCTTGTTCTCAGTTGCTGTGGCTGTTGAAGCAATCAAACAGGTATGAATTATCTTCATAACATCCTGCAGTGTGGGGGTGCAGATACCAAAGCTAGAAGGGTGTGCTGGTGTTTGCCTGCAATCCCAGCCCTTGGGCAGTGGAAGCAGAAGGATTAGGAATTCAAGGTGATTTCCAACTACAGAGGGAATTGGAGGCTAGCCTGTGCTACACAGACTCTATCTAAAAGGGAAAAAAATGACATAATAAGTATTAAAGGACAGTGTGTAAGAAGGAGCGAAAACTGGTGCGCTCAGCACAGTTTCCCTTCTCAGCAGACCTGAAGGGCAGCCTTTCCTCCACTGTTTCTGCATGTAGTACTTCCAGGTAAATGTTGTCATCTTTTAGTTATAAGCTAAAAATGTAGTTTGTCTTTGAATATTACCATTACATAAATACTTTTCATACAAAACTTTAATCTTTTGATATACAGTGAAAAAATTAGTCGGGGCTGGCAATATGGCTCAGCAAGTACACGTTTGCCACAAAGGCCTGTTGACCTGATTTCATTCCCTGGGACCCATGTAATGTAGAAAGGGAACTGACTCCACAGTGTGGTCTTCTGACCTTCATATGTGAGCACATTCATGCATGTACATACACACACACACATACAAAACAATAATAATAATACAACAATATTAATGATATAAATATATGTTTTGAGGGCTGGAGAGATGGCTCAGTGGTTAAGAGCCAGTGCTGCTCTTGCAGACTGAGCACAGTCCCAGCCCCTGCGTCAGATGACTCTCAGCTGCCTGTGGCCCCAGCTCTAGTGAGATCCCGCCTCCAAAGGGCACCTGCACTCACCTGTACAAACTTACACACAGACATGCATATGTATACATAATTCAAAATAAAGTCTTAAAGAAATATAATAACTTAACTGTACCGTATATTAAATGTTAAAGTATACACTAAAGGTACAAATATTAGAACACCATGGGTACTATTTTTTTGGGTCAGTAGAAACCCAGAAGTCAACCCAAAGCTGTCCCAGAACTTAGTGTGGGTTATTCGATAGCAATGCAGCCATCAAAGCAATGGTCTAATAATTAGGATAGTACCAGTTATCTATCTATAAAAAGCTATGCTTACCGTCTTCCTTAGTCTTTTTGCCAAACATATCCACATTGAATTAACACTTGAATATTAAATTGACAGCGCATGTAGACAAGGATGGCTTAAAAAAAAAGATTTACTTATTTTATTTTATGTGTATGTGTGTTTCACTTGTATATCTGTGTGTGTACTGTGTGCCTGCCTAATGCTCACAGAAGCCATTAAAGGGTATCAGGTCCCCTGGAACTGGTGTTACATGGTTGTGAGCCACCTGTAGGTGCTGGGAACTAAACTCGGGTTCTTTACAAGAGCAGCAAGCGTTCTCTACCACTGAGCCATCTCTCCTCCAGCCCCGAGGTCAGCTTCTTAGTGTAGTTTCAGATGGTGTTAAAGGAACCAAGTGCAGAAACCATGAAATAAAATTTTGAACACATAAAAATAAGGAACTCTAGAAAAGGGGCTGGAGAGATGGCTCAGTGGTTAAGAGCACTGCCTGCTCTTCCAAAGGTCCTCAGTTCAATTCCCGGCAACCACATTGTGGCTCACAACAATCTGTAATGAGGTCTGGTGCCCTCTTCTGGCCTGCAGGCATTCACACAGACAGAGTATTGTATACATAATAAATAAATATAAAAAAATGAACTCTAGAAAAAATGGTATTGTAATACATGTCAGTCAGAGAGCATAAAGAATTCTAACATAAAAAAGTACAACTATCTAGCAAAAGGCTCAATTTGATCGCTTACCATGTCGAAGAGAGTAGAGGAATCAGGCATACATTTATCACAGATGTAATCTGATCGATTTCTTTGAAGAATAATTTGGCATGTACTGTGGATTTCATCAATAAGGACGTATCTTCCTAGACGTTTATGCACACAGAGGAAGTACTAGCACATTTCAAAGCATTGCTTGTAATTATAAAGGACGTGGAACATGCCGACTGTCTTCCAGCCAGAAAGTGGCTGAGTATGCTGTGGTGGACCCTCATGATGGAGTAGGAAATACTTGCTGTAGGCCATGCTGTAGCCTCCTGTTTTACCATGAATGAATCTCTAAGATAATTCTGTTAAGTGAAAAACATTAAAGTTCAGAATGACCTGGGCATTATGATTCCACTTGCATGGGAAAACTGAATTATAAAATGTTTATAGATGACTTAAAGTTCAAATTGTCTGCACAGTGGTAGCCAACATTATGGCGGAAGAGAAACATTATATAATACCAGACAATAGACTAACTGGGGTCTTCATTGCAAATAACTGGAACCAAGTCTGACTAATGAGTAGAAGAGAGATGTATTGAGCTAATGAGGAGTCTGCAATGCTTTAGACATTCTCTTGGGGCAAGCATATCATTTATTAACTCTTATTATTATTAACTCTGCTTCTAGTTTAGTTTGTTTTTATTGGTGTTGGATAATTACTCTAAAGTCAGCTAGCATACTATATTAATTTTTAAAGATTACTATTTAAATTATGGTGCTCAATTAAATTATAAAAATTAGATTCTCTTACATAACTCTAATGTATGAACATGTCTTCGCATAGTCCTGTTTGAGAAACCTCCCCAGGATAAAGAGATTATTTGCATGGATACAGAGTACTTAGTGGTCATGTGTGTAAGCACCCTGAGGTTAGAGCTCAGCTGGGAGCACCCGGCCAAGGCCGCACTCCACTCGTGTGCCGTGTGCAGCGTTTCCACTGAATGCTCACGATGATTTTGAAAGGCCGTGTCTCATCCTGAAAATTTTGCAGCTCACAGAGGCACCTGCTAGTCTAAGAGCCCTCAATCAGAAACAATTCTTTCAAACATAATCCTGATGGGCCTCGTGAAATGCAGAAGGCAACCGCCAGCAGACATTGATGGGCTGTGGGCTGTGACCACATCTAGGAGCTTTTAGAAGGGTTTGTTTTCTGTTAGGCAGAAATTGCACATTTTTAGATGTCTGCTGTTAGGCCTTTCAAACTGAAAGTGGTGGACTATACCTAATGATTTTTCTGTGGTTTTACACGTGGAGGGAGATGACGACAGGAAGCTATTTCAGTGACCGTTCTGTGCAGTAAGTTAACAGTAATTTTTTAGAGCTTTGCTCTCTTTTCCTTTTCAAAATATAGAGAGATGACTGATTATTTTTATCCTTGTTCTGAATTTGTATAACAATGTTAGTGAATTATTAGTAGCTAATTAATCCATGAGTCATTTTTTTTCACAAGAAGGACAATGTTTGAGAAATATTTTTTAAAGCAATGAGTTCTAGTGTCACAAACAGTATAAATTACCAACATTTAAAATATTGCTCTCAACTCATATGTAAATATGCATATAAACACACACTCCCCTAGAGATGATGGGAAGTGTCAGGACCGCGTTACACCTTAGGTGGCCGTGAGAGAGAGACATGACACCATGCCTCATGAATCACACTGTGTTTCATTTTTGTTCATATTTATGAACTAAATGCTGTTTTCACTATGACATTTTTATTAAGACATTGTCTCAACTTTTACGTGTGTATGTGTGTGCAATGCACACATGTGTATGGGAAACCCTTTTCAGAATACCAGTGCTGTGTATGAAGTTGCCTGAAGCTTAAAAGATTGGGAGCTAAGCCTCTTTTTATTATTCTGATACAGTCTTTCTTCTCCTTCAATTTATCCCCTAAATACGTGTCAAAGGAAGCAGTTGAAGATGAGTGGCTGAATGGACACTAATCATTACCAATAAAAAGACAATTTACAATTCATTTCAGTATCATTTTATTAATGGATAAAGACAAATATGTTTGCATTTTAATACTTTACCTCTTAATTTGGTATTGAAATATATACCTCAGCCTCACAATAGTAGCAGATACTTAAGGTTAAGTATATATATGTACACACACACGTACATACACACACACAAAGGTTAAGTATATATATGTACACACACACGTACATACACACACACACACACACACGTATGTGTTTGTATGAAAGGGGAGCACTGGGTATTTCATCAATCCAGGCAAAGTACTTCTCCAATGAACTGTATTCTCAGGCCTTAAAGTTTTCTGTTTAGAAAAATGAATAGCTATGGAAGGGCATATTTTCTTCAGTAGTTATAATGAAAGTCTAATACAAAATAAGGTTAATTAAACTTTAGATATATGTAGCAACTGTCATTGTATTAGATAAAAAATAAGTACAGTTAAACTTTGGAGCAATGGTTCTAAACCTTCCTAATACTGTGACCTTTTAATGCAATTCCTCATATTGTGGTGGCCCCTACCATTAAATAATTTCGTTGTTACTTCATTACTGTGATTTTGCTACTGCTGTGATAAACATCTGATATCTGAGATGCCACCACAGGTTGAGATCCCTGCTTTAGATACAGGCAGTGTGTCATTATACCAGAACAGTTACAAAACTTAAGAGTTTTTTTTTTAATTCTGTAGAAAAACACCCTTATAAACCCCATTGTCCTTACAGCTCTAATGCCTTACACTGCTTGAGGTAGGAAGAAGTCAGGGGTTTATTATGTATTTTAAATTAAAGCAAAAGCCCTAAAATGTTTATCCAAGTTGACTGACACAAACAAATCTGATCAAGATTCTACCTTAGAAGACTAAAGGTTGGGCTGGGAACGCAGTCAGTGGGAAGGGCTGGCTAGCATGCGGGGCCCTTAGCGCACTGGCCAGCATGCGGGGCTCTTAGCGCACTGGCCAGCATGCGGGGCTCTTAGCGCACTGGCCAGCACCTAATAAATGATGACAACAAACCCCATCTCTAGTTAGATGCACATTGTTCATGGTCTGTGTGGCTACACTGTATTTATGATGTATTGCTATTTTTAAAGTTTTTTTTAAAGTTTTAAGTATGTGTGCGCGCGTGTGTGCACACGTGTATGTGTTTGTTCATGCAGACACACATGTCAGCACACACATGTCACTTCAG